GGGACTGGATTTACTTGAAGCTCAGTACATAGAGGGTGAGCGAATGGACAAAGTTCTTCTGGGGCCATATTCCAGGCATCACCTTAAAAGGTGTCTAGATCTGGCTGAGGGAGCACAGCTTAGGCGGGGGCTGGGGTCCAGTCTCCGCACACCTGCACACACTCTATGTCTCAGGGCGGTGGGTCCTAACTCTGCTCTAAGGCCATGAGCTACTTGGTACCCAGTTCTTCCCCGGGAACCCCCGCTACCTCCTCCTTGGTGGGCAAGAAGCGGAAGGCACAGAGAAGATTAGGTGGGAGAGCCTCGGGGCCTGGTTAGGAATGGGGCCCTGGCCCCGTACCCTAGTGTCTGATGTAGGAATTAGAAGGGTAGCCCCAGAGAGCACAAGGACCTGGAATGTGCTGTCCAGAGCTGAGCAACACCTCCCAACAGAGCAAGGGGGCAGGTATCCAGGCCTCATGACCACACGTAGCAGGTGGTACAGAGTAGGGCGCAGTGACTTTCTCCAGCTAGACCTTCCACGGGAGTCACCGGGAGAAAGAGGCAGCTTTTACCCCCAGACATTGTTAGTCACCGCAGGCTCAGACTCAGGACACACCCCAGAGTCCACTCGTGAGGACTGAGTATGAGCCACCTGTCTCATGACCATCCACACACTTGGGGTCCCTCCTTGTCCCTCTCAAAGCTCCCCCTCTCCCTCCTGGCTGGCTTCAGAACCAGGCCAGAGCAGGAGGGAAGGCAGACGGGGGTGGGGAAGAGACACAGCAGCGAGGCTCGCCGTGGGAGCAGCTTTCTGGAGGACAGCTTGCAATTTCCAAGTCTTCCATGACTTACCACCTGCGTCCTCCCCGGCCCCGGACACAGCGATGGCCCTACACAGCTGGGGAATGACTAAGCCAGAGAACGGTATTCTCTCAGGTAAAGGTCATCCTCATTGCCAGGGGCAGTCATTTGTCAGCGGATACCAGCTCTCCTGGGCTCTACCTGTAGGGCATCTCCTGGAACAAGCGCTCAGGGCTAGGAGAGCAGGCTGCCCCAGAACAGGGCACAGCGAACATCACGGAGTTCATTTCAGCCAAACGGAACCAAAAGCAGGTTCGGAGCCGCTACGGCCTTTATTTGGGGGAGAACAATATAGGTCATAAAAATCAATTCATTCCTTTATAGTGGTAGAAATTTAAGTCCAGAGAGGTTAAACGAGTTGCCCCAAGTCACACAGGAGAAAATGGTGGAGTAGGACTTCAGGGAAGGCTCCTTTCAGACCACAGGGGCCACCCGCTGTGCGGACAGAGAGGAGAAGGGACTCACACTTACTAAGGTTGGTTGCCTTCCCCTTGGTCTAAGCACCACCCCAGGAATGTGTCAGTAGGTGTGGGGGTCCAGAGGTCTGCGTGCACACGCCTCCCCCCAGCGGCACCGTGAGGCCTGCCCGGGTGCAGGGAGGAACGTGCCCGGTGAGCGGCTCGTCCCGCAGGCTGGGGAGGGGGCTCCATACCCGGCTCCGCCCCCTTCTTCCTCTGCCACCACGCCATAACCCGCTCATGTCTGCATGTCATTGCTTTCCTGTCACTGGGCCCCCTCGAGGGCACAGGCCGGCCTGCCTTCAGTCCTCTGTGGCCGTTTCCCCGTGAGGGGGCCGCCGGGGGGAGTGGCTCGGCCCCCCTTGCACCGGGGACACAACACGGCGGGCAGGGGGTTCCCACTCACGCCACTGTGGACACTGGGCCTGGGATGCTTGCTGGCATCTGGCTCCTGCCCACTAGATCCCTGCAGCTCCCACAGCCCAGCGCCTGACAATGGAAAATGCGTCCAGACGCGGTCAGCGGCCCTATCCCCGTTAGAATTCGAGACAGCACTTATCTATCCGAAGGGGGGCGTCTAGTGACTGGGAAAAGCCAGCGAGACTTTGGGGGATACATGTTTTCTTTCTGGTCTTGCTTTCATTGTGCTGGTGCTTTCAGTTTTTTCGAAGATTCTCCAGACTGTGCCCTAATACGCAAATGTTGGTATCTCAGATTTCAAGGAAAAGTGTTCAAAATGCACCAGCTTCCTCGTTACCGAGAAGCCCCAGTTCAAGGTCTATCCGCGCGCAGTGCCTACGGGGTGTTACCAGAGGACAACTGCAAAGGCCGCTCAGATCTGTTTTGAAGCAGGCATTTTGGGGCTGATTTACGGCTGGCACGGTTCATGTCATGTTCTACTTAGAACAGAAATGAGTATAATTTATAACCACTTGTTCGTCCCCAAGGCTATGGGTGAAGGAGGATGTTGATTTTTGGAGCTACTCAAACTGACCAGAGGTTTGCTTGCTCCAGCCTCGCCAAGGACGCCCCGCTGACTCAGACAACCATGAGAACATTCGGTTCTGGAGACTGGGGGGCCAGGAAATAGAGCTCCCTCTCCAAGCCGAGCGCTCCCCCGCCCCGCGGCGGCAAGCGTGGCCCCAGCCCAGCAGCCGGGCAGCCGGGCAGCGCAGCCTCGCCTGGGAATTCATTAGAGACACAAACCCTTGAGCCCCGCGCCTGCGCGGGCATCGGAAACTCTGGGAGTGGGGCCCAGCGCCCGTGTTTTAACAAATCGCCCAGGTGATTGGGATGCACGAAAAAGTGAGAACCGCTGTAATTCATTGAGCCGTAAAGTAAGAGAATCAGCAGCTGAAGGCCATAAGGTCCCCTTCCTCACAGATGAAGCCCATGCTGCAGAGTGTGGGCTTGTAGCGGGGGCGACTGGGCCTCCCGGGACCGAGCCACACACGGACAGACTTAGCCCTCGCGTGGGGAGCCCGGCCTGCCTCTAAAACCAGGGCACGGGGCGGCGGGGGGCCACAGGTGGTGCGGGCTTCCTGCAGAGAGCCAGCTCCCTGGGGGGGAGGGGAGAGAAGCACGGGGTACCCCCCTCCTCTCCAAACTCACCGGTCAAGCAACTCAGCCCACCTGCCTGGTGAGGGATCAGGTGGGCCGAGGCGCAGGAGTGTCGTGTTGAGTGCTGCACGATGCCCAAGGAGGGAGACGCCCCCCACCAACACGTTCCTTAACACACTGTGTTGTGGACGATCAGTGACTGGAAGGGACCAGCTTTTCTCCCTTTTGGTTGCTACGCCCCCGTCAGCTTTGCCTGAGCAGGACCGGAGCCCAACACTTCCCAAGGGCCAAGGGGAGCCCTTCACAGTGGGTGTGGGCTGTTGGAGAAGAAGGCGGCTTCTCCTTCCCACCTGTCTGTCTCAAGGACAGGTGTCAACTGCTGCTCTCTGCTAAACAGAGCCCGGGAGGAAAGCCAGCCAATGGGACGGACAAAGTGGGAGCTGGGTCCCTTGTCTCCTCACAAGTGGCTTGAGGAGGGTGCTTGGACTTGCGGTTCCCTGAATGCGGTTGTTAGCATCTGAAAGTAAGTCAGCTTCCTAACTCTCTCCTGCCTCTCCACGGCCCGTTTTTACTGTCCCCATGACCTTCCCCCGTAGCATGGAAGGTATGCTGCTCCCTTCCCTTGGCCGAAGGAGGAGAGACTCAGAGAACAGAAGGGATCTCAGAAATTATTCAGGGCAAACACGGCACTTGCCAGCAGAATCAGGCGCCGAAGGATGGAGAGACACAGTCCGGCCCTGAGCCCCCATCAGAGGCCGAGCCGGCCGTGCCCAGGTGTGAGACCACAGGCGAGAACTCCCCCACCCCCCACAGCCCCGTCAACAAGCTTGTGAAGCTTGGCCACACCGCACGCTCCGTAACGGGGCTTACTGTTACCACGCTCTCACCGGGGCAACTGATAATTTGTCACGTATCTTTTTAAATAATCTGTCCCTCCCCCTGCCCCGTATCAGGGATCCTGGTTAGACTGTGTGTAGAAAGGTCTGGGCAGTGTTACCCGGGGGGAATTCACGGTGGACACCGAGCCTTCTCGATCCGTGGCCCCCAAGCTGCAGGTTCTGAGGGATCTGTTAAAAGGTGAAGAACAGCTTGGGCACCCCCGTTCCGACGGTTATCTGACCAGCGGTTCGAGGGGCTCGACCACGTGATTTCCTCAAGCACTCAGTCCACTTGTTTCAATACAGAAAAAGTAGTTTTTCAAATGCTGGCGTAGGACCGGCCACTTCCAGCCCCCACCTGCATCCCAGGTGCTGACAGGTTTTACGTTTCACTTGGACTTCGTTTATCATCGAGGAGGAGCCTGAGAAACAGCAATCTGATGAGAAACCACAATGTATGTGATTCTCTCTTAAGTTCTAAAAATGCCTGATAACCAAAGATTTCAAATAAATTATGAGACCAGTTTGGGGAAAAATTCTCCATGATAGGACAAACAGCATTTTACCTGCCAAATGAAGAGGTTATTTGCTTATGTGTCCCCTTTAGGAGGACACTGTTTCTTTTTTTAAAAAGATTTTATTTATTTGAGAGAGACACAGCGAGAGAGTGAACACAAGCAAGGGGAGTGGGAGAGGGAGAAGCAGGCTTCCTGCTGAGCAGGGAGCCCGATGCGGGGCTCGATCCCAGGACCCCGGGATCATGACCTGAGCCGAAGACAGACGCTTAATGACTGAGCCACCCAGGCACCCCAGGAGGACACTGTTTCTAAAACAACTTGACTCAGTACCCTTGAAAAACATGGGGGACAGATGCAAAATTCAATATCATGGGGTGTATTTTGTGTGTTTTTTTCTGAAAATGTTTAAGAGGTAACTTTGCACCTGCAGGTGTCTGCCATATAATTGTAGCCCAAGACATTCTTGGAGGGACTGTTAACATAGCTCAGAAGGCAAACTGTCACCCGATCCCCTGAGCTTCAGTCCTTGGACATTCGAGCCACCCCAGAGCACCAGGAATGGTGCCCCTTAGTGATTTAATAATGCTGCTTCACATCCCAGCTCTGCCACCACACTCCTCTAGCCTCCTTTTCCAAACACCGGCCGACTCCATACTAACACTCTGTGAAATCAGAGAGGATGAGAACCGGACCCGGGGCCTTCTGTGAGGATGCAGAGTCAAGTGGAAAGGAATGCCCCAGGCTGATGTTAGAATGTATTTATTGCTACACGTATATACAATTATACAAACAGCCCAGACAGGAAAGGGAGTGTTGTGTGGAGCTCTCTGGATTCCACAGATGTGCACAAGTAAACAGCTGTACGCCACAAAGTTTGCTCTCAGTTCAAAGCCAAAAATAAGTCACATACGTTTTTTGAAAAAAGTGGAAAATTCTTGGAAATTCTCTCCCTGTAACCCTCCTTACAAGCTAGTCATGCAGAACAAGGTGGGTTCTCAGAAGCTAATGCCTTCAGGCATCTCTTTAGGGGGTGGTGCCTTGAAGACAGGGTACAAGGGCTGCCGGCTTGGGGCGGCAGGGAGCAGGGCCGAAAGCCCCAAGTCCTGGCCCACCTTTCTAAGGTCTGTCCCTAGGAAAGGCAGTCAAGAGGGGTTTGGAGAGAGACAGAATAGCAAGAAAGGGAAAACCAACAGTAAACTGAGACTCAGTGAAGAGAACCACCAGCAAGAGCCCTAGTGGAAGGAATGCTTGTCCATCTGGTTCCCGCTGGGATTCCGGATTCGGAACATCAGGCAGGTCTCGGTATGTCCTTATCCTACAGCTCGCCGCGTGTCAGACGCCAGGGACCTGCGTGAAGACAGACAGCCAACAGGAAGTCAGGCAAGAAAGAAGACTACACTTAAATAGGGTCATACTAGGGCTGAAAAAGGCACGGCCCCAGACATCACCCCACGTGTCGTGGGTAACACTTAGCCATGGTGGAGTGTGCTGCTGGATTGTGCAGCGGGGACAGAGAGCTCAGGATACGCAGGGAAGTACAGGCCGCACCAAAACACAGGGGTTCCGCGGAGCCTACGCTCGGACCGTGGCCCCGCTACCACCCTGATCTCAGAGCGGACCTAACAGGGGATCTTGCAATGCTCAGACCCAGAATTGTGAGGTGGATCCGAGACCCTGGTAGAGACACACCCCTTTCATGTCACGGTTCCATAAACCATTGTGACGGGAATCACAAGAGAGCCAGCCGAGCAGCCTGTGGGGCAGGCGCGCCCAAGCGTGAGCAACCCGTATCTACCGCAGCTCTGCCTTCCCCACCTCAGGCCACTTCCCACTCAGGGTCCAGCGGGAGGGTCTTCAGATCGGGTCTAACACAGCCTCCGAGGCTCAAATCGCCTAGCACCTCAGGGAAAGGACAAGGCCTGAAGGATGAGAGCAAGAAGTCTGGGAGTCTGAACACACCAGACGACCAGAGGCCTTTGGGGCTGATGGGCAATGTGGATCCCTGCAACCCGAGGCTGTAGGATCTCTATCCCTGAAGAAACCAGTCAGCTCTGACTTGTCCGTGGCTATAGATGAGCCTTTAATGCCTCATCACCGTAATCCCATAGGCTGACTTCTGCTGGAGGAGCCCTAAGGATGGGGGGAGAAGGGCTGGAACCACTTGGAAGTCCCTGTCCTTCCTCCTGGGTCAACAGCATCGTAATCAGCCAGAGAGGGGCCCAGCAAGTTCTTCCAAGGCTGCCAACTTTGGGACATTTCAAGCTGAAGGATGTGGCGACTGCCAACTCCTTTGATCCTTGAATAAATTCATCTCTGGATAATTCAAAAATCTCTGTCATTTGATCTTGACTTTTCTGGTGAGTCATGCAGAAACTTTCTTTTCCTACTTCTGATGACAAGAGCAGAGAGTTAAGCTCACTCAAAGGATTCACTCTAAAAAAGCAAAAACATTACAGGTGGCAACCCATGAGGAAAACATTGCAAAACATCAAGTAAATTTTAAGTTGGTTTTTTTTTTTTTTTACCCATCAGCAAACAAAATGGAAAGAGTTACATAAATTCCTGCAATGGAAGAAATGGTTTAAAGGCAAGTAGCTGGGAAGGCTGCTATTTGTGGCTATGTATGGAATGTTAAGAACATGTCTGAAGGAGGGATTTTAGCTCAGATCCCGGGAGTAAGACACACTGGACTCTCCCATTTTATAGCGTCTACACCGCTTTCAAAACGATGACGGATGGGCCTCACGCCCTTCACGTGGCCTTTGACACAGTGGCAATGTTTCGGTGATGTCACGGAATGTCAGGGATGCTTGCAGGACCTTAAACTCATTTCAAAGCAATCCAAAATTCAAGGCCAAAGAAGCAAATCATTTCTAAACATTCCCACCCGGAACAGAACATCCATGATAACTTTTTATGTCACATTAAAAAAATCTAAAAGATAATATTGTTATTACAGACATTTATTCCACATCTTAAAGTATTACCTCAAATATATTCTCATACAGCTAGAGGTAGGTTTATAGAACTTGGGGAGGATTAATCGGCAATTTGGGGGAACTCAAATGTATCATTCAAGATCTACAAAGTAAACGTCATTGCTGTGGTTTTACTTAGAAATGGGATGGGTCAGAACCATCTCTGCCAAAGAAATTAAAGAATTTCAAAACGACCTGCTTCAAGGTAATCATGTTGATCCATGATTTTAAAGTATTTCCAAACTGAGATCAATGCAGAACACTAATATATATATATATTCATTTTTAAGTATATCTGAATTCATCTTTATTTATTTTTCATTCATTTTTAAGTATATCTGAATTTTTTTAGATAAGAGAAAGCCTCCCAGCAGCACACAGTGTCCTATGCGGGAACTTGCGCCGTGATACTCATTCCACATCACAAAAGAACAGTCTAGAGCAGCATGTCCCATCAGTTCACATAGTTTACAGATAAAATCTCATTTTATCGACGTCAAAATCATCACATCGGAGGAAGATGTTCTTGACTGGCAGAAAGCCCAAGAGAGTTAAACAACTGAGAAAGAACCTGAGGGGGTGGAACTCGAAGCCATAATGGTGGGGGCTGTTCTGGGGGAGCTCCTTTGGGAATTCATGCCACTAGATTAAAGGCTCTGGGCTGTGGATGCACAAATTTGGATTTTATGGGGTCCTGCCAACATCCTGGCAGGTGTCATGGAAAGGTAGGCTGGCCCCGGCCACCAGTTGTACTTACCCAGCGAGGGAGGGAGCCTTCTTCCTAACCGTTACATTTGCTTTATACCGCTTTGGCAAGAACGCATCTGGAACAATGCATACAGTTTGGGTCCCCACCTTTCAAAAGAGACATCAAGGGGTTAGGAAGCACTCAGCAAAAGAACACAGAAGGAAGTCAAATAGTGCAGAATGACAGGAGCACCCTTGTCATCCTGGATCCGGGAGGGCCTGCTGGGCAGCAAAGGGCCAAAGCGATCTTCCTAAGTTTTAACTTTTTTTTTTTTCCAATCCAGTCTTTAATCTCTGCTATTACAATGTGGAAATAAGAATAACTTCAAATGTCCCTTTTAAATGGATGCTAGAATTCTAATAGTTGTTACAATTCCACACAAATGAATTGGTTTCACAAGAATAATGATGGATCTCAAGGTCATACACACCCAAGTTTTGTAAGTATTAGAATATCGCTGATCAGATTTTATATTTTATTTAAGGTTCCCTCGTGATTAATCTAGGCACTCCTAAAATGTCCTTTGGGCACCAACCACTTACAGGCCCAAAATTCGTGGTGGTGCCTCCTTTGAAATCAATAGTTGATTTTTTTTTTTTTTTAAGATTTATTTATTTGAGAGAGAGAGCAGGGGGGAGGAGGAGAGGGAGAGAGAGTCCCAAGCAGACTCCACGCTAAGCACAGAGCCCTGTGCAGGGCTCAGTCTCTGACACCCTCAGATCATGACCTGACCCAGAACCAAGAATCAGTCACTTAACTGAATGAGCCACCCACAGGACCCATTGTTTTGATTAAGCAAATTCTCAGCAGGCTACACCTGCCTGCCAAAAGACTGGGATGGGTTAAGACCAAGAACAGTAAAAACCACCTCCCCCACAGCCACGTGGCCCTGCGGTGATTAAAGAGGCCAGTGTCAGCCCTACAGTCCCCGGTCTGTCTTCGTCAGCTGATTTACCTGCCATTCTCAGGGATAGCCCTCAGAGACATCAAAAACGAGGTCGCAGTGAACTCTACAAAGAAACCACTAAACCAGCCAAGCTTATCCATGCATGAGTTCTCTGACCTAGGAGAGTGCTGCGTACAGTACTTTCTACACTGTGGTTCAAGCAGTTGGAAATGCAGGTAATGGCGATCTCTGTCTTACTGATCAGTTATGTGCCCGAAGGGCATCTGTGGGGGGCTGTTTCCCATGGAGATCAATAGTAGTGCAGTGTCCAGGCAGTTTAACCCATGATGCAAAACTGAGGCTTTGCACTAAAATACAGTAGAAACCCCAAATTTGTCAAAGCTAGCAATAAAGGGACACATTATTAAGTTTTTTAAAACTTTTAAATTTTTCTATAATACTTGAACTTGATGCTAAACTGGGCAGAATTAGATGATTAAGTA